TGCATCAGGAGGATGCGACTAACTCGGATCATGCTATTGCCGAATGGATGAACAATTTCGTAGTCAATAGAGTCAGCACATTGGCACCAGATTTGGGTAGTTCCCATATGTCGGATAATACAAGAAATTCAGATCAGGAGAAGACAATTAAATCAGAGGTTGTTGAAGACCCTGTGTGTCAATCTATTAACTTGGGCACCAACAAAATGCCACAGCTAATTAAAATATATGCCAGTATTATTGGTACAGAATTGGATGCTTGAAAACAGTTTTTTGTCCGTTACAAATCTACCTTTGCGTGGTCGTATGCGGATTTGAAAGGGATTCCAGCCGACGTGTGTGAGCACCAGATTATTCTGGAGGAGGGTGTTACGCCAATTCATCAAAGACAACACTAGCTTAACCTAAAATATTTTCTTTTAGTGAAAGAGGAATTGGATAAACTTCTCGACGTGGGTTTTAATTATCCTATTCTGCATAGTGCATGGGTGTTGCCAATCGTGATGGTACCGAAGAAGAATGAAAAAATCAGGATATGTCAAGATTTTCGAAAGTTAAATGTGGCCACCAAGAAAGATTACTTCTCATTACCTTTCACGGACAGTATGGATAACATATTGGTATTATCGCCACTAGGTAAAAGAATAGGAGTGGCGGACCAGTTAAAGTCATTCTGTGGTGTTGTTTTGGGTTGGCTGGAGTGCCATTTTATTGTATTTCTTGTATTTTTGAGAGTAGTAGTTCCAGTTAAGAGTTAACAGTGAAGAGCCAGTTACAAGAAAGAGAACGCATGGTGGAGACCCACAGGCAAAAACTATTTCAAGCTCGGAGTCATTCAATTTTGGAACTGGAAAAAGCAAAGGGTCAGTTGGTAATGGAACGAGAAAAGACTGAGTTATTGGTGCAAGAGAAATTGGTATTGAGTGACTAATACAAATGTGAAACGGAGCGGTTAAGGGCTGAAATTAAGGCCTTGAATGCCGAGGTGACAAGATTGGCAGAGAATTTAATCAATATTGGTCAAGCACAAGTATCGATGTTGCCAGTTCCCGAAGTTCCAGAAGAGAGGAGTCACTTTCAGCGCCAGTTGGAATTGAGAGATGCTTAGATCCTGAAATTGGAAGCTCAAGTCTGTGAACTAGGCGAGTACAATGCAGACCTTTCAGCTCAGTTGAGGCAAGAGTCGATGGAAGGATTGGAAGAGGATGAAGACTTGCAGTTGGAACCGGAATCAGTGGAACCAATAACAGATACTGCGGCAATTGATTAATTAGATAGGCCATAGGGATCACAATCTTTGTAGAGTTTTGTTAGATAATTTTTAGATAGGTATCAATTGAGTGTTTGCAAGGACGTTGCACAATTAAGAGTGGGGCTATGTAGAATAAGTAGTTATTTTCAGAATGTAGATACTTAGTGTATATTGTAAACAGGGATAGATAACTGCTGAAAAGATGGTTCAGCAGGTAGAATGGATGAATAGTCACAAAAAGTAGTTATCATATGTAGTATAGGAGTTGGTATCTCAGGGTAGTATAAGGAGGATGGGAGAAGGGAAGAAAATGCCAGACTGTGAGAGTTGTAAGCGAAGGGCGAGACTGTGATAGTACTGAGCCAGAGATAAGCTTGGTACTATCTCTTCTTCTTAGTTTTCTTATTTTTTTTGTGTTAGTGTTGATTCTTGTGAAGAGAATCAATTTAATGAATTAATGTTTGATTTACGAAGTTGTTTAAGAATCACTATTTATCAATTGTTGTGAAAGATTGAGGACGTATGGAAGTTTCCAGTCACTGTTTATCGCAAGGTTGTAAGTTTAGTGGAGAGGAATTGTAATCGAAGGAATTGTCTTGATTAGATTGTGTGGATTAGAAGTTGTTCGTTCCAGGATTTGGAATATGCTTGTGTGTTCGTGAATTATATAAGGTACTGAAATCGTTGTTATGGATGTTATTGTATTGATATGAGAGAGTGGACAGTAGGAAGAAAAGTTAAGTATTCTTCGGTATGATAAGCATTCAGCAGTAGCAGTTAATTGCATGACCCTAACAATTGGAGCTCATATACATGGTCATTCCCCATGTTCGAATCCTCCTATACGGGTTTATTCTAGGAGGTTTCTTCCAGAATAAGTAAAACGAGCAATCACAATAATATAATTTTTTTAATATTTAAATATTAAAAAAATATCATATATGCCTCTGGAATATGTCAAAATATCAAGAATATCCCTTGTTTTTGTGATAATTGTAAAAATGCCCTTCAACTTAATAAGCTATCTATTTCTTGTATATTTTCTATTTTTTAGTTTAAATTGGGCCTAACTTTGGCACTTTCCTTCACTTTTTGAGTCCCAAGCCAAATAGATGCTTTCTGCCTTCCATTGTGGTAATTCAAATACTTATGGAACATATTAAAAATCTATAAATTCTTAGCTTTTTTTTCTTTATTTTTTTTTTATCTTCTTGTATATAGCAATGTATTTCATACTTGTATACTTGTTTTGTTTTTTTATAAGCACTATTTACATCTACCAATTATCATGGTTAATTATCATGAATGTATTTTTATCTGTTTATTTATTTATTGTTCTATAGTTTGATTGAGTAAATATATTTTTAGATGTCTATATTTTTCTTATTTTATATTTTTTACTTATTTTTAATACCTTTGACCATTAATAATACAGAAGCTAAAGAATAGGTTTAAAAAATAATGTATAATATGTTCTATATAATATTTTCTTAAAATACCAAATATATATATATATATATATATATAGAATATTATGTTCAATTAAGAAAGTATTTTTATTAAATATTATTTCTTTGATCAATCCTAATATTTAATAGATCAAAATTATAAATTTAGTGTGAATCTTGTATTTTTCTAAAAAAACTTAAAGCAAGCTATAATATTTATATTACAATTTGGCATCCCTTGCACCTAATATAATGCATTAAAATTATATTATTTTTTATTAGGCTTTGCTTATGAAGATTGTACATCACATTCTATTTAAAATCTTTGATATATATAATATTGTAAGGAAGATAGCATATTCATTTTAAGCAAGTCACTATGCATTTGAGTTGAAGCTAGGATTACAAAATTTAACCTTTCAAAACAATGCAATGCTATTTAAAGATAAAACTTAAGAATGTATCTCCATCCATATATATGAATGCAGCATGAAAATTTTTTTTCTTTAGAATGTATTTAAAAAAAATTAAAAATAAGGTGTACAAAGCATGAAAGAACAAAAAAATAATTCTCATAAGAAAACAAAGAAGAAAAATGGTTGCTATGGTATTGATAAAATTAATTTGCATTATTTTAAGTTCTCTAATTTGTATTATTATTTATTATTGTCTTACGTATTGTTGCATATTAATAACTTGCTTTGACATGTTACTCCTTAAGGACCTTCATTGCTACTTTAAATTAAATATATCAATATTAAAAAATATTAATTAAGTATTTTTATTATCAAATATACTAATATTTTTTCATAATTAAAGCATTTCATTGCATTTTTTTGTCTAATTTGTAATAAGATAATTTAAAGCCAAGATTCATTGAAACATTTATTATTTTTTAATAATATATCAGAATAAAGATGAAGGAATGATCTTTCATGAAGATACAAGTTTCTTTCCCTTTGATAAATTCTGCTGCAATAATAACATATAAAAAAGATATTAATAAGAGTATGTAACTGTAATAGCCATTATCACTGTAATGCCAATAATTTTCTGAAATTAATTTTCAAAAGTGTAAAATATGATCAAGATAAAAATAAAAATAAATTAACTGAAAATTATTTAATTTAAATGAATGTTGTATAACTGATTTACTTGAAATAATTTTCTTCAATATTATAAATTATAAAATGAATCATTTAAGTAGTGATGATGTTTCGAATTGTTCTATTTCATTGTCAGTGTATGTATTTGATGAGTTCAAAATTTGACTGCAAAAAATGAGTAATATGTATTCTTCATGTTCATGTCTCAATAATGTTGTAATTACCTCTACTATTTGTATGCATGCATGTCCCTCTGTCTGTCAGTCTGTCTGTCTGTGGATGTATAATTATGTTAATATATTATGCACATAAAATACTAAAAAGTGAAACATCTCAACCAGAAAATGAAATGCTCTAATTTATAACATAGTACCATATGCAACCAAAAAAATGAAAAAAAATAAGAAAAAGAAAAAGAAAAGATACTCGTGTAGAAAAAATAGAAAACATCCAGATGACTATGGCTCAGTCATAAGACTAACATGGTTCAAAAGAGAATATTACCTGTCTGTAGTATAAGCACCCATGTTGATGCATCGTCACCTTTGCTGTTCCAGAGCTGATGTTGTTTGAGAACCGAAATCCTATGCAAGCAGCAGAATTAAGTTATAACGGATCCTTTTAAACAGATCAATAACTCTTCTGCTTGTGTCTAGAGGTAGCTGGGTTCTTGCAGTTCGGCTACTTTGGTCATATCTGTCTCAAGCCAGGCAACCCGAAAGTTAAAATCCGACAATATTCCAGGTTTGACGTTGAGTTTGGAGAAAGATTAGTCTACACAAGGTGGCTAAACACCGCCTGGACAATTCTGGACAACTCATAAGCGTACAATAACTGTGGCTCCCTCTCCTTGCCTAGTTTGACGGTGGCTGGGATGGGTATGGCAGGTACTCCATCCATTTCAGCGAGAACTGTCCGACCTTTCACCAGTTCTACAATCACAACCACCTCTGCAATACATGCACCGCGTACCTTGCAAGTTTCAACACGTAATGAAAGAAATGGACCAACTCCACTTGCCTTACGTCTAGAGCAGACTCCCTCGCCCTGAAAGAGAACACTGTAGATTCACACTTAATTATTGAAATTAAATGAAAATGTTTGTGCTAGGAACATGCGTAAAGCAAACAATAAGGTGTTGCAGAGCAAGGGTTTTTTTTAAGAGCATTCAACCTGATAGGTTAAGCAATGAAATGATCCATAAATGGAATGGACATAGAAGTAGCAAAGATGCCCCTCAAACCGCTTGAGCTATGTCCCTGTTACATGGGAAAGCCATGAACTATAGAACAGCCCCAGAGGGTTGCAAGGAGGCAGAACTAGTCATTTTCTTGTTGGTTCTTTCGTCTGCACTCTATTTTACACATTGTTACAGGGTGCAATAAGCCCTACATTTCATATAGAATGGGATCCACCAGAAATTAAACAGGACGGATCTAAGAAAAATCTATTCTGGGTATTACTGAAGACATTATACAGCGTATCATTGTCCTAATTTCTACACCCTTAAGAAGAGTAGAGGAGAATTATTATGAACCGGTCTAACAGGAATCCAATGCTTTTCAGTAGCAATCATGCAATAGTAAACTCTACTGCATATAAGTATTTGACCCTGTGCGCAGCAAGCTAAAAACTAAACTATTTTCAGCTCTCATGACGCAGCATTTACTTCATAGTAGCTTGCTGAGAATTAGACCACTTTGAACCTGCCTCCGCAGGAAATAGGTAGCGGAAGGTGAAATCGTACGGTAAAGTGGTGAAATTTCTAGATCCGAGAATACGATGCCTCCGTTGTTGAATGCACTCAAATACAACAGCTACTTGGTTGCTTGGAAGTAGGTGGCATATCCAATCCAAGAGATCAGCATCTTCTACACACTGACGAGCATAATCGTGTAGCAATTTGGGGACTAAAAGTCTGCCCTTTGTTGAGATTCCTACTGCCGCCCTGGTGTAGTCAAGGAGCGCACCCTCAAGCTGTGATTTCACGTGTTCAGATGTGTAGACTCGAACCTGCCAGTGCTCAGAAGTTAAGATATTCGGGCTCTGAAATTTGAAGTCTATAACATTTAATGTGCCATCCAAAGATGGCTTTGGTTTTAATTTAAGATGGTTTTAATCGTACGCAATAAAACAAAATGAAACAAGACGTTCCAACTACGAGAGGAGGCGATTCATTTGTATAATTCAGTCGAAATCTAATCAAGGAGCTCGGTATTACAAGCATGTCCAATCGACCGTGACGGGCAGGAAGAGAGCTATAAACGAGACAATAGGATGAGCTGCATCTGGTAAGAGCAAAAATCAGGGCAGTCGTTGAGCAAAAGCACCAGGAGCTGAAATTTATGGTGAGAGATGAAGAGTAATGACGAGAGAGAAATTACAAAAAAATAAAAAATTCAAGAAAAGAAAAGAAAAAAGAAAAAAGTGACAGAACAACAAAAGATTCCTCTTAACTCACATTTACTGGAAATAACAAAGAATTTTATTCATACCACGGGTGACGATCGAGTGCCGCTGCACAATCCAAAGCTGACAAGCGACTCCGGGTGGTCGATTCCAAATTTACTTTGATTCTTGGTGAGATTGTTCTTGTGTAGGTCCTTTAGGATGGTCTGAATCACGGAAAAAGTGTTTAGGCCTCCTTCAGTTGTTAACCCACACTGCAGATATACAAGAACAGAATTGATTCTTCATGCTGAAGACTAATAAATGAAGGTTGGTGTAGATAGCAAAGTTGGCTCTTTTAAGATCCCAAATCTTGTGTCGAAACGGAGGAATGCAGACATATGTAAGATGAATTATTGGTGAGTGCTGAAATGCTTACAAGTTGAGATCGATGGGCTGTTGACTTCGACCTGAGAAGACAGAACGCCATCGTGGCAGCGTTAAACGAATATCCTCCCACAGTGTAAGCTGCCTGCAAATAGCAAGTAAAACTCAGCTAAAGAAATACACACATCCTAAAGAGGCTTATCAGATTAAATGTTGGAGGCAATAAGTCCGTTTCTAACTTGTAATTGAAGGTCGCCAAATATTACAAAAAAATGGCACAATTTAAACGTACCTTCTGAAGCAAAGCTAAGAACTTCACGTCACTCTTTGGAATGCCGTAAGCCAGATAAGCCTGCAACAGTTAGCCCCTTCCGAGTTCAGATTAACCGTCATTTCTTCAAAGACATAACTAAAGAATGCAATCAGAGTATTTCAAAGATTTAGTACTCAATTACTAGTGTACCTCACAACAAGCACGCAGAAAGGAAATACATGCTCTGTTATCCACAAGCGATCATATTTTCACATCGAATCAATACTTACATGCATCAAAAGAGTGTTATACAGGTTGATCCAGAATGCGAGCTTTTCTTCGTGCTTCAAATGCGAAGGATCCACTTTCGACAGTTGCTCCACCAATTTCCTACAAATTTAATTGCTCTATATTCAGAAATTTACCTCAAGTGACTCATTTTTTCTAAAAGAAACTCGTAGGTGATTCAGGTAAAATTCAGGTGCAATATAAAACTTGTGAAGCAGGCTAAAAATTCAAGACGTGTAATTAACGGCAGCTCACTTGAAAGTTCGCAGAGCGTCTGCCGCGAATTCTAGCTGGTCCTTGCCCACAGATAGCCACGATACCTCCAACACGTGGGCATACGGACCTATGTCTGCCCATGGAATTTTATCCCTTGCTTTGAAAGGGTCAGGAGAGTCGTCATTTCCCAACACCGTCTTGCTACGAAGGTCTACAAGAGGGCTCCGAGCAACTGATAAAAAAGATGATTCAGCGAGCGAGGAAGCAGATGGATTTGTCTTTGGTGTAGAAGTTGAAGTGGGAGACACTTTAGTTTTAATGTTTGAGTGAGCAAGTTGCCGATATATACTGATCATGCATCGCACCATTAGTTCCGAAAGCTCGTTGGGCTTCTTGAATGATGCAAAGAGGTCGAAATTCTTTTCTATCTCAGGAGTCTTCTGTATTTCATACCCATTCTCATTCTGCCCTTCGGTATGTACAGGTGAATTTATCGGAAAAGGAATGCCACCAGATTTACCCTGCCAGAGAACGAGCTGAGGTCGTTATTGCTACTTCTGAGGACCATTCCAAATTAGGAATTACTGCAGCTACGGTACTAAGATGTCAAACTCGATAATTAGATAGCGTTGAATTTCACGCCTTTCCATGACAGCGCACAGGAATCATTACTTGAAATTTCGCCCCCAAAATACTTATTCACCATAAAAGAAGGTAAAAAGGATGATAGACGTCCGAAAGAAGTCTAATGACTTTACCTTCTCAGAATTTTTGACCAGGGTACCCTGACGACGCATCTCACGAACCTTCAAAATGCCAATCCGGTTTTTCCTTCCTCGCTGCACGACAAGCATCTTAAAAATTTAGAGGACGAAATCAGCATACTCATAGATTCGTACGGTAACATCACCCTCTATGCTTGGATATACTTGGATACAAAATATGATTTTCATTGAAATGCTTAAACTTACGTTATCATTCAGTAACAAGGAGAAAATTCATCAGCAAAGAATGTGTAAGACGATTATTCATCAGGGGACACGAAACTTAACCTCATCAACAGAAGGAGTTTCAGCTATTTGTGCCCAAGACTGATCCTTAGTAACTATTGTGTTAGAAATGCAGCCGTTCTCAAATCGAGGGTGATCATCTTCAGACGTGAAGCTCCACGAGTCGGGCTTGGTTGCCAGTGCTGCCGTGACCGGGATTTCGTTTTTGAAACCTTTCGAAAACGCCGAAGGTTTTACCGTCGAAGGTTTCCAAAGAACTTCAGCTACCGGCAGGAAAGAAATGCCATCAGCTTTAGCAATACCAACCATGTACGGACCCTGTTCCCGCAAAGGTTTAGCAGTAATAGCAGGTGAAAAACAAGAAGAATCCTCATGTGATGCACTAGGGACCGGCGCAAGATAGTGGTCTCTATTAAAATCTTGAGAAGCGCTAGAGTCAACATCATCAAATATTGCTTTAGGATGACGCTCATTTAGAGGTATCCAGTGTTCTTCCTCCTCCAGAGGGTTATGCTTCCAAAGTGAGTCGAGTCTCAGGCCCCGTCCATCGTTAATTAGATCACATGCATGAGGCAAGTACCAGGGTGATATGGTTTCATGATCGCCTTCAGGAAACTCTGGACTAGCTATACGAAGATCCTGTCGCAGTGTGAAGGCCCATCGTTACTATCAGACAGGTAGAAAGAAAACAACACAAGATGATTACTCGGAACTTCTCAGTATTGATATTCACGTAATTCTGTTTAAGACGATCACACCAAGTAGTTTCCAAAATGATTGATTTCAATGATATAAGAAAGTAAATTTTAAAGTAACAGTAGTAAACATGTGCAATGATATTTCACATTGAATATGTGAGAACTGTACCATCACGAATTAGGAACATACCTTCAAACTTTCCTGAGGTTTATGAAGCCCTGACTCTTGCTCAATCGTGGAAACACCAAATGTGGGGTTCGACCGCATGGATACTGGAGTTGCAACTGCCGACAAGTGTTGGTTCTGAGGCTCAGGTGCGGTGCCAGGTAATCCAAAAGTGTGATCATTTTGAAGAGTTCCATTAAAACCAGAAGAAACGAAGCGCAGATTGGAATCCTTCAATCTAAAAATTGCGCTTTGTGCTGAGGAATGTCTAAGCTCAGCTATCTCCCTCTCCGTGCGTGCATGTCCTACTTCACTTTGTAGAACTGAGAACTGCTCCTCTAATTTCAAAACGGCTACCTCCAACAATGTGATATTAGCCAAGAGTTCCTGAGCCTGCATCACGTCGAGTTCAGGGTTGTCAAGTCATTTCATATTAATTTGGTAAAGGAGATCTAAAAAATAGGAGACAACTTCACACCTGAGACTGATATGATACCGAATAATGACCAGGACTAAGTAAAAAGTAGAACTTTTTCAAGGTCTTTAGATGCCAAAGTAGACTTCTTACATAAATTGGAATATGACGTGGCAAATTTGTCAAGTTCCTTGAAGCAAGTCCCAACGCACTTTCCAACGCTGCACGTAACTCAAGTTCCACCGCCAATCGTTTATGCAATAATAAAACCTGTGTTCATTCATGCTTATAGAAAGAAGAAAAGGAAAGTAAAAGAGTCGCAGATTACTCAAAGAAAAACATTTCTTCGGAAGTCATAGCAAAAGGGACACGAGGTAACTTACCTCTTCTTCGAGTTCAGACAGCTGTACCAGACGCTCAAAAGTCTTAGAATATGATACATCATCCAGATGCTCACCGCCATTTGCCTATTGAACCACAGTGCATTTTTCATCAAAAAGTTTCTAATGACTTTCATAGATAAAATGTATCTTCAATAACAGTGTTCGTGAATGCAGATCTTGAGTGAAACATTATGACTTGAGAAGCGAACGTTGACTCAATTACATTGATGAAGAACCCTCAATCAATGTAGAAGCAAGACTACAATACTTCACCCTTGACACTTACCCGAGTCCTCGGTCTAGCTTTCATGCGTCTCGATTGTCCATTTTTGTCAGTCTTGAATCCGCTCTGTAAACTCAAGGAGCGATGAAGTTGAAAAGAAAAAGCTCGCATACGTCACTCCAGATTGAAACGACATAACTACAGTAGGACTGACGAAACTGACCGAGAAAGCCAGAAAATCACTTGATCTGTGTAAGGTAGGGACTAAACACGAAAAGAGGCAGATCATCTTGTCCAGTTCACTAACCGTTATAGTCCTAAAATGCCTCTCGACTGGAGTGGTACCGGGAACGGGATAAGAATAACTCGTACTTACAATGAAAATTTTGCTCCGAACTACGTCTGTGACAAGGAACACAAATGAAGAAATCGGTTGACGTGGCTAACGCTATCTCAGCGGTACCAACAAAGTCTCCTTGTTCGGTTGGCCGCGTGCTCTAAACTGCATATTGATATACTTGGTAACAAAACCTCTCCTTACCATTCATGTACTCAAAATTCGACTAAATCTTACGTCTGTAAGAAGTATTTAAACAAAGAAAAGGAAAAAGAATCCTCGCTGCACATCTGAAAGAAGACGCAGTAAAGCTGTCTATCTTCAAAAGACCGCACCAGCAGTTCAAGTTACTAACAGCTTGGAAATGCGTTAAAACCCTACGCCGCTTGCATAAAAAAGAGTACAGTGGAGAAAGCAATAAGCAATTAATCGCACGCTGAGAACTCAATTACTCAGCTAAGCAGAGGTAGTGGGAGTAGAAAGGGCAGAAAAACAGACTTTACCTCTCGCTCATCTCCACGGTCAGAGGAGGAAATGACAACATTATCCCTTGGCGACGGAGAAGAACCTCCATACGAGGTGGACACTGGTAACGAACGCTTCATCTCAATGCCACTACCACTACTACTACTACCACCGCCACTACTACTACAGTGGCTTTTCCTGAATCTCGAGCTGCATTCAATCGGATATGTTGTACTCATACTGTCTACGTCCTCACCTGCCTTCTGATTCTAGGCCATTAATCCCAGTAGTTCACCCTGTAGACTTTGCAGCTAGCACCATCGCGATTTCGTATTCTCTTTCTTTCCCTATTATAATTCTTTCAACGCTCCTCGCCTAATTATCCAACATGGTTTCCATATATCTACTTTCGCATGATTGAAACCTAATGGCATGACGGTGCGGGAGAATTGTACCAATACCATCCTCGAGGAGACAGACAGATATAGTCCTATTGTGCTGCAGGATCACCTGTCCAAACGACGATATATGTTCCGACCAGGCTTCAAGCTCGGTAAAATCCCTTCGATTGTATAGCTAAGTGACGGACAGAAGTATGAGACTATCCTGAATGAGAAAAAAAAAAAAAAAAAAAAAAAAAAAACTGCAACATGAGGTCTCCTCCACTTGAACTTCAGCTTTAACAGAATAAGGCCAAGCAAGTGGAGCCATTGTGTCCATCAAGCCAGCATCCAACCTCATTCCTTGACGAGGTCTTGCATGGATTAATTGCCCTTCACCACTCAACACTTCGAAAAAAATTCGACCAAGCTGCTTAACCCGCACTTGACCTACACGCAAGCCAAACCGAGCCTCGCCCGCGCACAACTGCAGCGAGGAGTCCGAAGCCAAGATTTTCGAGCGGGTACGAATGGATCCCACTCTCTGCAACTGGTAACATTTACCATCCAAGCAGGGCGAACCGCCACCTGGAGAAGAAAGCCTTCGTGATCAAGACCTCAGCAATCAATCAAGCAATCCACTCTCACTCTCCAAGCAAGGCAGAAAGCCAACGCGGATCCGTCATCCTTAGCTCCACGTCCTTCCGCCTCTCCACCTGCATCACCCGGTTTCCTCCCCTTCCAAAACCACACTCAATCTCCATGTCCATCGCAGACGAGTTTCCACACACCGGTTCCTCTCATCCGAAGCCCTCGAAGATCGCATTCCTCCGTCCAAAAACCCCCTCTCAACGTATAAAAACCCCCTCAGCTTCGCCACCGACAAACTCCACCTACCGCCAATTCTCCCCTACAACGCGCGCGCCACACCCAGGCGCATTCAACTCCGTCCAATTCCTCGCCGCTTAACCGCACTCGCCACTACGATCATCTCACCTCTCCGGCACTCGCAATTAAGTACGCAATGTAATCTCCGCACCAAGCCTGCGGTGGTTTTTCGCCAACGAACAATGCTTGCGAGGCATCACGTCCAACAGGGGAGGTGAGGTAGCAGCGCCGGCGAGAGTGAGAATGGGTGAACGCCGGGTCACCCGGGGGCGGGAATCCAGGAAACACAAATCCAGGGGAGTCTCCCGCGTCATTGGCTTTGAAGTCCGGTCCACGATCGAAGGCAGGGAAAGTCCACCCCCAATCCACGTCCACGCTCTTTCCTTGTAGTTCCTCCTCTCTTCGCTGCTTCTAGAATGTTCCTCGAATCTTAATCGAGTGACGTCATCGCATCGGATACTGACGCTCATGGTTTTGCACTCTTGAGTTTAGGATTTGCAAAACTGTAGTTGAATATCCTTTAGGAACCTGGCTTCGTTGGCTTGCTTATTATACCCCAATTCTAGCCTTCCCCCACGATCTTACAAAGCCCACATTTGGGGATTCGAAGATATCTATTAGTATGCTTTTAAAATTGATTGTATGGTTTTAGAACATGTGTTTTCATTATTTTTGTAATGTTTAAGCAAAGTTGGTTCAACAATTGGTCATCCTTGTGCAATTGTGACGCCCACTTCCTATTCATGGATTACAATTATTTTCTTATATTATCCTTAGTGTTGTTTTTTAGGTATCGCTTTTCAATTCTGTGCACATGTGCTTCTTTATTTTTAATTAATATGGTACGTTCTTATATGAATAAAAATTCGTGCTTAGGTGTACTTTGTGATGGTTTGTGGATGAAAATATAAATTGTGGGTAGTGTTTTCAGTGCCACTTATTTCCTTTTTTACTTTTGGTTTATATGTTTGTACTAGTAATGTACGTAGTTTAATTACAGTGAAAGTGATTGATATTCTCAAAATAAATACTCGTAAATTTTTTTAACAAATTAATATATTTTAGAAAAAATAGTGGATAATATTGATAAATGATACCATGAAGATGAATCTGAATGTTATATACACTTTTAAATTTTACACTTAAATAGATGTTTTTAATATAATTCAAACTTGGCCCATTGACAATTGTTCTTCATATATATGATCAACATTTACTAAGATTTGATCAACACATTGATTATTATTCAGATCAAGATGAAAAGGATTACTTTTAAATACCTTGTCAAGAGAAGTTTTCAGAAATAACATTTGAAAATATCCAAATAATATATATATATATATATATATATATATATCCAGTACAACATTCAAAATATTTTTACAAATTATTTGACTTTTTTCTTACAATCTAAGGATCCACTACCCTAAATCAAATATTTTGAAAACTATGGATGATTTGAAGATTATATGACCAAATTTGAGCTATTTGTCGTAGAAACTATTTATGTTCTTGCTCAGTTTCTCAAAGAAATTACACAAACGCCTTGTTCACAAAGATCTATACAACTTTGAACTTGGTAGAATTGTTGTACTAAAAATGGCAATGATTGAATGCCCACTACCTCTTTTTGTCACAAAAAATGCATAATAATACAATGTAGCTTAGCATCAACAAATGATTACCACTTTACAAAATACCTTTTTATGATTGCAAGGATAAATTTTCTAAAATTTGGATCACATCAAGCAAGGGGTTTGAACAAGTCAAACACCTATTTAATCAACCAAACATGAGTTGGTGTAACTGCAGCATTCATTTTGAACAAAGCTTTGCATTAAACTAAAACAACAAAACATAAAAATAACAAAATAAATCTGTATGTATGTATGTATATATATTTATGTGCCCATGTCATTGATTTCACTTTCTATTCTCATTCTATGGAAGCACATTACTATGTGGATTAGTGGGCTTTAGTGGTTACAATATCCAAAGCAACATTCAATGAGAACAACGCCATCAAAATTAAAGGAAGAGAATATATAATAAAGTAAAAAAGCCTGGTAGAGAAGAAAAGAGTGAGAGGGTAGCAGGTCATAGTAATAAGGAATGCGGTCTGCATCCACTTCAATGGGAGCCTTTCACCAGCCCTGCTACACTGGCCACTCCAGAAAGCACCACAAACTTTAAAGGAACAGGGGGGAGGGAGACAATTCCATCCAGAAAAGTCCCCCTCACCAACCAGCCAACCATAAGAGGAGGTCCGTTTTGTCTATCATGGAATGGAGAAACGAACAGGGATGAAGACAACAAGACAGTTCCACCACAGAAAATCCAATTTGGTGGAATATGGATTCTGGGATTAGGATTTGGTGGGATTGACAATGCTTTGGCATTCATATCCCATGGCAAGATATTTGTTGGTTGGTTGGTTGGTTGGTGATATTAAGGGTACTATTCTTTCATAATCCCCCCCCCCCTCCACCCCCCTCCACCACTTTTAATTGAGATGTAAGGCTAGTTATTGGACCTAACTCTTTGTAAACAAATAATGAAGAATGGGTTGTAGACAAGGAACAAACAATCAAAGAATACACAATGGGTATTATGAAACCCTCTCATTAGACAAAATTTACTAATTTATTTTATCGAAATTCATGTTTTGATATATCAATGAAATAAAGTATATAAGAAATTTAAATTAATGGTTTAAACTTTTAAAGAATTTTTTCATTGATATATTTGGTTGTAAAATATTTATTAATATAGAGCACAATTTTTTGAAAGAATAAGTCCGTATAAAAATCTAATTTTGGATTAGTAAGCATGTAAATAATCAAAATCAAATCAAAACCAAAGTGCCAAAACCATATATAGCTTAATAAAAATTTAAAATTTAAATTAAAAAATAAATTATAAACTCTTACTTCTTTATATATATATATATATATATATATTAAAATTATATTTTTTTACCTCCACAAATTTTGGATAGAAAAAGATTAAACATGTGTTAGTATGTACACACACATATATATATATATATATATATATATATAATAAGAAAGCACATAAAACAATCTTTACAATGACATTTTTTGGTTACTATTTAATTTTTAAATTTACAATTAAAAATAATAAAAAATATATATATACATAAAAATAAAAATAATCAAATCAAAATATTAAATAAAAATTTAAAATTTAATTTAAATAGCAACATTTATAATAATAATCTAAAAATAGTATTAAATTATATCATGAGAATTAAAAGAAATTTGCTATAAATATCCAAAATATTATTTATATACAAAAAATTAAAAAATCTTGATGTTGTAAAACATAAAATATCCAAATAAACTTTTTCAAAATGTTTTTATAATAAAAAATTTAAAAAATAAAAAATAACTTTTTTTTTCTCAAGATTTTAATAAAACAACCTAACTAGAATTTATTAATTTATTTATTTTTGAAACAGTTAGAATTTACCATCATAGAAATTAAAGAAGTGAAAATAAAATATTAATTTTTAGCCTTTAATATTTCTTTTAGCTTAAGAGTGCTATAACTAAAATAACATTATGTATTCTTATATGTCCAATCTTTATTTGGTGTATGTAGAATATATATATGAATTTTATTTTAATTCATATAAATATAATTTTTTCTTATTTTAAGCTTATATATATTGATTTAATATAATAATTAAAACTTAGATAAAATTTTGTATTAATATCAATTGATTATGTGGAGTTGGATATTTTAAAAAGAAATCCATTTTTTTTGCCAAACATATCATCATTTTTTAGTCTATTTTTTAATAACTTGCTAAAAAAAATAAAAAAAAATAAAAAATTGTTCAGTGGTCCAAGAATCATATTGAATATATTCTCTTTGTAATTTTTGTTGAAACATTTTAGCTTTCATGATTATTGTAGCAAATTTTGTAATCGATTTAAGTCATATTTTCTTTTATTTACATTATTTTGTGTAAGTTGAGTAAATATATTAAAATTGAGGTAATATTTACAAATAAAACGATTTTATTTTTACTTTTATCAAAGACATCTATTAAAACAAAAGACCAACCTTTGATAATAAGATGGTTTTAATCAAGAAGAATAAACTTTAAAGATAAACTTTTAGGACTTCTTAATTCTCAACTATTGAAGTATTAATTTTTTTAATGGATGTGAAAATAATACTTCAATAGTTGAAATTACTAATACAAAAGATTTCTACTTAAAGAATTAAAAAAGATTGTAAAGATCCAAATGGTTTCAAATCTATTTTCACTTCTTCCAAATATAAAAACCATAGTTTTTTTAAAAAATCTAAGTTAATATAGATTTAAAATAGATAATATTAACCAGCATGCTAGTCAAATTAGACAAAGATAATCTCCAACTTCTAGTACCAAATAATCTTTTTGTAAAGATAGATAGTCTACTTTCTATAAAGAAGAAAAATCATTGGAAAATATATATATATATGGAAGTAGGTAATTTGCAACTTTTAAAACACAGTAAGATTTTTTAAGAATTTAGATAATCTATTTATTTATTTGATTATAAAAGTGATATATTAGTTAATATAAGAAAAAAACTACTTAAGTGGGATAAGACTCCAAGAATACAAAAGACTAAAGTATAAAAGATTCACTTCATATCATAAGCAAGGAATTACAATAATACACAAGAATAAGACCGAAAGGCCAAAGTTAGGCCATAAAGATTTTATTGATAAGACTAAGGATCCCCTTGTCCTAAATTCTTATATATACTAGATGCAAAGAAGTTATTTGAGGATTTTTTTTTATGCTTGGAAGTGAAACGAGTCCCCAAGAATCTTCTATAACCATCTAAAATCCTATAGAATCTTCTAGGATTTTAGACCTTTTTGGAATCTATTGGGACATTCTAGGGCCTTCTTGGAACAACCAAGAACCTTTTGGGCCCAAGTAGAATCTTCCATCATATGTCTATGACATTTCAATTGTATGTCAATAATAATACATCTTGCTTAAGCTTTGAGTTCTATAAGAAGTGATAGAGTTGAAGTTGATTAAAAGCAAAAGAAGTCAAAGATGTGTTGCATGGTACCCACCACATATTCAAGTTGTCTTTTGCAAGTCTGAAGATTCATTTGTATTTACAACCAATAAACCAAGCTTGCATAATTAGATATTGCAATTGTGGCTATCCAAAGAAATAGCAAACAATTTAAGCAGCCAAAGACAAGTCAAATTAGGGTATTACATTCTATAAATAAAGGTATCTTAACCAAATTAGGGTTTCCGGCGCTCAGGACAAGGGTTTCAAAGCCAAATTAGGGCTTCGAGTGATGTGGGCACGACCCTCGCAAGAGCTGGGTGCGAAGGTTTTTGAGCTATGAGGAACATGCAAAGTCTCGCAGCCTCCTCCTGTGAATTCGATCACGATCAATTTTTCAAATTCAAGCGGCGTGCGCTCCCAACTCGTGCGATATGGAACAATTGAGTTGTCGGAAGAGGTGTACGCTTGATCGCTGCTTAGCGATCTCGCGGTTGCAATAGGGATCCATCAGGCTCGCTTTGCACCGCTCTGCTTTGAATTCTCTGTCGTCGAGCTTTTTCGCACGGCTGTGCACGCATAGTTTACTCAATCCAGGTGCTAAATTCTACCCGTGCATTCAAACAAGTCGACACACGCGCAACACGCCAATACTTCAGAACGCTTCGAATTCTGCGAGCAGCTCATGCCGGTTTTCTGAATGTAATGGAGGAGGATTTGTGGCGAGCAAGAAGTTTTCGATTGTGAGAGGTCTGACTCCAGTGGGTAGGCCCCCTCGGCTGCTTTTGTTCGCCCGCAGTCCCCCTGCAGTTATTGGCACTGGCTGAAAGTATGTGAGAGCTGTACACTATAATAAGAATGCTGTATGTGAGACGGTTGCTGTTGAAACAAACTACTCGCTGCTCGACACACGAGCGAGGCCCAAGTGAACTTTGCGATTCTAGAAATTTTACGTTGGAATTTTGACTCTAAATGGAATTATTCTGCCAGGCATCATCGAGTTTCACTGTTGCATTAGGAAATGGATGTAATTCTGTCACACGGATTACATCGCGAATACAATTTCTCAAGACGCAAGACGAGCTTCTGCATAAGGCGAAATCGCTAAAGGAGAAGCTTCCAGGCATTCACTCTGTGAAAATAATGTCCAGGATAAATTTTCGTGATCAGTCAGAAGCCGATGAAGAACGAGAAGATCGCAGAGTGGGAGGCATTACAAGAGACGTTGATTTAGTTTCAAAGGTAATCAACTACTTGATCGAAACTCCAAACCATTTTTGGATTCGAAGCCATTAATGACTTGCTGTGCTTCTACCTGGATGATCAAGTTCGCAGGTTATGCCCGCAAACACATGTATCAATGAGCACAGCGGCTGCGGGATGACAAGAATGGCACAAACTACACACACTCGCAAACTCGCACACCCAATAAAATTGCACCTGATGTTTCATAAATTTCTGGCTCAAATCTGGAAGAGAAGAGATAAGAACAAGACTGCGGCAACGAGGATCGCCGCATTGGCAGCGCTGGACACAACATGTGCGGCATCGTTTCCAACTGCAGCGGGACTAGTGGTCCCCGGTGTAGTTGGGGTAGTTGTAAGTCCTGGAGAAGCTGAAGGAGCTCCTGCAACCGCCGCAGGTGCTGCTTCAGGCGGCACCACTCCCTTGTTATACTTCGCTGTATCCATTACCATGCTGATGCCATGGACAGCCACCTTATCGTCCAAGTAGAGGTCCGGGTCTGAAATGACGACATTGTCTAGCATGAGGCCGTCTTCGCCTGTGCTGGTGATGTACATGACCACATTTGGTGCGGCAGTTTGAATCGTCGAGTTCAGGGGAAGATAGCTCAGCTGTTGGTAGCTGTACACTGCGGTGGCCACATGATAGTGCAACGTGTTCATGAAGAGCATGGAGTTGTTCATGTTCAAGCCGCTGAAGGCACCGTCATCAGGAGCGAAGAAAGTGATTCCTTCCTTGATGACGCTGGTTTCGCTTAGACTGTCTAGAAGGCCCGAAATGGCGCCGTAGTGACCCGCAGCCCGAATAGCAGCAACAACTCTGTCGCGAAGCGTGAGAGGTTTTGGGGGTGGTGCCAGTGGTGCTGGTGCAGGCGCTCCGATAAAGGGACTTGGTGCTGCCGCTGCCAGAATGGCCTCCGCTAGTGATGGTGCATCATCAGCTGCCGCAGCGGACGCGACAAGGGTGTGGAACAGAGTGGAAGCAACCACTAGCCATACTCCGGCTCTGAGGGAGATTAAACGAGCCGACATTTGGTCTAACTTTTCCAAACACCTCACAAACTCGAGCTTCTTGAGCGGAAGCACAAGCAGTCGACGGAATCCGGTGCTGGAAATGCTGCATAATATTCAACAACATGATCGTGATTTGGCCAGTGGCTTGATCCTTTTGACGCCTTTACGTGAAGAAACCCGGTTAACGAACGCTTCTTGACAACTTGCAGAGATAGAAGAACTTCGAAGCACGCACACACGCACTCACGCAACAAAAATCACACCTAAATGGGCTAAGTAAAATCCATGCTGAAGAAGATTCAGACGACACAGGAGATTTCCAAACAAGAAGAAGCATGTGGGCTTTCCATATATCCACTTTCTTAAACAAACGCTCTTGAAATCCTTCGTCTGGGCGAACGAACAATGCAAGAAACACCCTTTCTTGGTTCTGTAGACGAGTCTCTCTCGATCATCACATACAGTTCAAGTCATTTTGATAGCTAAAACTTTACAACCGAGTCCTATACACTTGAGGCGATACATGGGAAGAAGCTGAAGGCCTGTCAACGGGTGCGTGTGTGGGGCGAGAGGGGGTTTTTATGACGATTGACAGTCAAAAATTGGCAGCAGAGCTATTGATCAGTCCTAAAATATTCAAATTCGTGCATGAGACTATGATCATGAGAGTGTTCACCAGAGCTGACTTACAGTGTATCGTTCACTCATGTGTGTTGAAGAACAAACCAGACTAGCAATTCACTCCGACGAATCATAATGCGGCAGACCAAGCTCATTGCAACATTATCTGCGAGGTCGAAGGAGAAGGCCGTGGAGGTCAAAATGGCGGAAATGAAAAAACAAAGAAGCGGCTGCAAATGGATTGTGCAGGAAAGTCGGTCCAGCGTTGAGACGTATACAAAAGTTCTAATAGTTCGTCATCACCAAGCTCATCAAGCAATCACCGAAGCAGAACTGAAGAAACAAGGTGCAACATCAGACAACACACCTGCATGAAACTTGCTCACCCTGAAGTCTCACCCGACATTGTAAGCGGATGGTACACAGTGGCCACGGGGTGGAGAACTGTGCGAAGATGGGCAGCGCTTTGTAGACTCATCGAAGCGTAGATTCGGGGCGTGGAGAAAGGAGCCGATCACCAGATGCTTTGACGAGGGGCAAAACCCAATCACTACCCTACTTTATTCCTCGAACAAAATTGGGTAGATTCGAAACGCAGGCTGCATGAATCAGTTACTCGGATCCGGACAGTCATACCCCCTTTAGACTAGCATGATTGACTCCGCGAGATTCAGATCCGAGCCTCTGTTTCGTCTGCACCGATCGTGTCGGTGCGGATTGGATTGGCAAATTGGGCACAAAGGGACGACAGCTCCTGCTCTGAGCTGATGTTGTGAGGAGCTAGCTCCTGGACAGATCGTCGACATCGATGGCGAGCTGTATCAGTGTTTCGATCAGCCGGGCAGAATGCTTTGAGATTGACTTTCTCAATAATGTTTGAGAGAAATGATGCAATGAATATTAAATTTGAAAACAAATGAAAAGAGAATAAGAAAAAGAAAAAGAAAATACTCTGGGTTGGTTATCTCTTCTATGATGCGTGGACACTCTGTCGAAGGAAACAGTTCAAATCATGCCGTAGTTATTTTTTTTCCTTTTGCAAAGTACTTCGGTTGTTCAACCTTAGAATCAAATTAAAGGGAGTCCAATATAAGTGACGATATTTGTATTATTCATTGTTAGGAGATTCGGATCAATGATTCTCCACCACTTCCAAACGAAAATTTAAAACTTTTTCAATAGAAAAGAACCCACTTGTTTTCTCAAGTCTGATGATGAACAAAATGTGGCAGATGGCTTGCAATGCAAGTTGCGGTGTTTCTACGCAATTGAACATGGTTGTAGCGATGAGGTCCGCAACAGTATCCATAATCTCTTCCTTCTCTAATGACGTATCAACATTGTAGAAACCTATTGCTTTGAGACTGTAGGGAACGAATAATTCAAATAACAAAGACAACAGTACATGATGAAGTAGCAGCCCATGTGACTACCTGAGCGATGAACGGAATAGAGGAACTAGGAATGAAACCCTAACAAGGGCAACTGCGAACACCCCATCTTGCTCGCCGTGACGGTTTCAGAGATTGGAGCATTCATAAAGATGGAACAAGGAGTAGAGGTGCCGGAGTACACACTGAATTGAACGCTAATAGCGAGAGAAGACTATAATAACAAAGAGCTAAGCTAATGGAGTTTTGTGTGTTTGTCCGACATGTACAACTTTTGCCGTTGGCAATGAGAGCAGTACTTAAAAGTGATGAGTGCATATTAATTGCGTTGATCCGACTTGTGGAACGTCAAATTTTCAAGACTAGTGAGCTAGTGCATCAGCCATTACTTGCAGAAGGTGAAGACAATTGTCCCTCTCTCAAGCTAGGAGCAACATTTGCAGGAGTTGGTTCATCTTACAAATACTCTAAGTCCGCAATAGTGCGTCCTTACTATGCCGTTCATGTTGGAAGGCATGTCGGCATTTACACATCTTGGGCAGCCTGTGAGAGAAAGGTGATAGGTTACAGTGGTCCTTTAGTACAAGAGTTTTAGAACAAGACAAGAGGCAGAAAACTATTTGATGAGAAAACTCTAGTTATTACATCAAATTATTATGGGATTGCCACCACCAAACTCAATTTTATAGATTAAGATTGAATCTATAGAACTTAACAAGTTGTTTTTGCTAAAGCATGGTATTTTGTCTTACATAAAAAAAGATGATATAACATTTTGCTTCTTACCATACTAAAAAATTTGAGAGTTTTTTTAAGAGATAAGAATGCACTTATAAAGGTTTGTGTATCCAACTTGCTAGTGTAATTTGCATTTGAATAGCACTAAATGGTTGACTCTTTTCCTTTTGGATACCAAGGGCCAAAATTAAAGTGTCATTGTAGGTAGTTTGAAAGATAAAGTCTAATATCAAATTAATTTCAACAAAGTACACTTCTATAATTTGAAATGTTGAAGGTTTGTCTTTGAAGATGTCTTCTTTTTTAAAATATATACTTCTTTCTTTTTTAAAATATTCTTTGGTGTTATTAATGTGGTTGCCAAGTGCTTGATTTGGTGCTCAAATTGCAGTCAAAGTTCTATTGCTTTGAGTTTCTTCATCATTGCTTTAACATTGTTTTGGTAATTGCTTGCCTTTTTTTTTGTTCAAAATGTAAGCTTGAGATTGGTTATGAAACATGTTATAGCTACCTTGCTACATGTTTCTTCTATTATTTTGATATTATCTTAAATGGAGATATGCATAGTTGTTATAATACCAATGGTACATTGATCCTCTTGTAGTTGCCTTATCTTAACTTTGAATTCAATTGTTTTGGTATCCAATTTTATTGCCTATGTGTAATAGATTACTCCATACAGAAGGACATCTTGTATTGTTTTTGAAAGTGAGTTGTACGTTGTCATATTACATATATTCTTACTTGAGAATGCATCATGCACCTAAATATAGAAGATAAGTAAAAATGCAACAACAATCCTACTAAGTCCAACAGAATCTTAAAGAAACTTTAAATAATCCATAATAATCTTAATCAAATTTTAATCAATTCAAAATAAATTTAAAAGAAGTTATAAAAAAAATACAAAGAAGTCATAATTTAATCTCAAAGAAAAAATAACAAAGAAATATTTAAAAATATAAAAATAAACTTTTAAATAAATAATGATAATCTTTAAAAAATATTAGAAATAAAATTTTTTAAAGAAATAATAAAGAATTATAAATAAATATTAAAAATATAAATATTAAATAAATCTTAATCAAATCTTAATTTAATTCTAATTAAAATTCTAATAAATTTTAATCAAATCCTAGATCAAATCCTAATTAAAATTCTAATTAAAATCCTAATGAATGTTAACTAAATCTTAGATCAAATTCTAATAAAATCCTAATAAAATCCTAAATCTTAGATCAATTCTAATTAATCCTAATAAAATGTTAATCAAATTCTAGACAAATCCTTATCAAATCCTAGTCAAATCTTAATCAAATCTTAGTCAAATTCTAATAAAATCTAAATAAAATCCTAAATCCTAACCAAATCCTAGCCAAACCCTAGATCCTAAATCAACCCTAATAAATTCTTAATCAATTTCTAAATCTTAAACAAATCTTTAAAATCTTATAATAGATTAAAAATTCAATAATTAATATTTAAACTATTGATTTTGACTCAAAATTTGCATAATTTGTAATAATTAAGTAAAAAATATATATTAGAAATTTGAAAGAGATCAAACATACCAATAGAAAGCAAAGCTCCCAAAAGCTCTCGATTGTTGGCCACCCTCTTTCTCTGATTTGATTGTTAATCTTTCAATATAAATTTCTCTTTGTTAAACTATTCAATTATTCTAAAGTTTAGATTGTATGTAGATATTCTAATCTAAATTATTCTCACCAATTTTTGCTTCAATTAAACTAGCAAGTATTCTGACATTGCAAAATTTTGCATTGGTCTTAAATCTCAATTATCTAAGACTATAATCCACAAAAGCCCTGATATTTATTAATTTAATTACTTAATTGACTTTGAATTTCTTATAGACATTTACAACAAGCGCAAAAACAAATTGCTTAATTTTTATTTATAAAAATACTTCAAAACTCATAAAATCCTAAAATTTGTAAACTTGTTTTATTTTTTAAAATCTAAATTCATTGAGTACATCATTAATTTTGAAAATCCCTCAAAATCTTAATATTAATCCAAATGACATAAAACCAACATTAAAAATTCTTTTTTCAAGTTTTCTCTTAAACTTCACTCTTTAATTTATAAATAAACCCTGGAGTAGCTATAGATGTATGGTTTTATGTCTTAGGATCTGATTTTGACTCCAATTGACAACTAATTCTTTTTAAATATCAATTTTTGGTAATTTGAGATAAGTTTTATTTAAACCTATTTTTGATTTTTTAAAAACACGCTTATATTAATTTTTTATTTTATTTATTTTAATTTGGATTATTTATGCTTTTATAAAATAAATTGAAGTTTCTTCTACAAAAGATAATATTAAGTCTAAATTTTTTATTACCTTTCTATAATTTATTATTATTTTTCTATTAAATCTTTTTACTAGGCTCTTCTATAATAACATCTATATTTTTATTTTTCACCACACAGTCATGTTACTATATGATAACATCATTTTTTTCTTTATTCTTTAGTATTTTTTGTGACATTTCTACACTCAATAATCAAATCTCAAGTTTAGTATAAGATGATAACTTATCTCTTAATATCATTTTTTTTAATAATATTATATTTTTTTAGTAGATTTTTTAATAATATACAAGACTACAATTACTTTTGGAAGAAAAATATCTTCTAAAGAATCAATTATTTTATTTTTATTTATATTAAATATTCATCCATATTTATTATACTAATTTTCTTGATATTAAATAACTTATCAATTAAATAAACTTTCCAAGGATTATTATCAGCCTCATATCTTAACTTCATATATATCTAACATTGATGGAAAACATGAAATTATTTTATAACGTATAGTACCATATGCTTCGTGTTGTTGTTGAAAGTACTTATCACAGATTTTATTTTATTTTATTTTTATTTTTTATATATTGGCTAAGAGTGGTGTTAGAGAAGCTATTGTAATACACTAACAAAGTAGTGCATATTGTTTTAAAATATTTTTTATTCAAAATACCTACATGCCATGGGTATCCATGCTAATAAGATGATACGTCTCTAGAAGTAGTAGATCTCTAGATCTTGTGATGTGGATGATTTGCATTGTTTGTACTACCATGCCATGAGCTATTTAAATTTTTGAAGCTTCTTGGACTCTTGATCTAATATGTTTATTATTACTAGCAATGATTGCAAAATTTGATCTTATCATAATGCAACATAAATGTGAGAGATATTGAATTACAATCTATTGTAGAATGATATTTATAATCTTGAAAAATTGACACTTTGCTACCATGTAGAAAGTTATTACTTTGAGGCTAGAAAAAAAAATAGT